TTCCTATGTAAAATAAACGTTCTGGTGTTAATGTTCAAACCGGGAAATAAAGATTTGGAAAAAATGCCAGGGTATGAGAATGGAGCTCAGTCAAGGCTCAGAAAATAGATCCGCAGAAGAGATGAGTTCCGTGGTAGTTGTAAGTAAGTGTATATGGTGATAATATTGAAATAAATGACGTTGTTTACATTGTTTTTTGAGAGAACGAACACGAATACCTGAAAATTCGTCTCACAGACCATCCCTGGTTTTTAACCACCACCGATATGCCAATTTATAGTTTCATCTATTGGAAAACATGATCCCAGAAGAGGCATTTCTATAAACGCTATCTTCAGCTCGTATATAAATGACTCCCTTCAGTTCGTCTGAGAAAGACTACATTCAGCTCGTCAGTAAAAGGCTTTATGGCCTTAAGCTCGTGTATGAAAGACTTCCTCCATTCAGCTCGTCTATGAAATACTTTCTTCAACTATTCGATAACAACATTTTACAGCTCGGCCATTAAGATTTCCTTCAGATCGTAGTTAACCCATGTATAAAAAATCATAGCATTCAGCTCTCCTGAAAGTTCTCCTCTTTAAATACTTCATGACACCGGTTCATCTATCAAGACTGTCTGACATAGCGTCCAAAAAGAATACCCACTTCAGTTTGTCTATAAAAACTACATTCAGATCGTCTATAAAGAATCCCTGTTTCAGCTCATCCATAAAGGCCTATAAACAGACGTATCTCCTTTAGATCATCTTCACATACATAATTCACCTGGACTATGAAGCCCCCCTTCTTTAAGAACTGTCTTTAGTTCGCATTACAACACTCCAGTCAGTCTGTATTGTAAAACGTCAGACACCTTACCTTGAAAGACTCCCGTTAATACTTCTACGAATTCTACATTTCAGTTCTTATGCGCAAAGTCCTAAATTTCTCCCAAAGTTAACCTCTTTTTTCTCTCCCCTTTTTCCAATTTGATCTAAAAATCAGCCCCATTTTTTGCCAAACACTATCCCACACTACTAGTCCGATAGTTAAACTTTAAAATTATGTTGTTGCTGGTTTGACAGTTTGTTTGTTTAACCGTTAAATAATAATAGTAATAATCATCGGCAAAGACAAAATTATATACCTTCTCCCCTGACGGCCGATCTGTCATGTGTGTGTGCCATGGAATAATGATGAGAAGAAAACAAAAAATCGCAACTGTGAAAATGTAAATCCTCTACATTTGAAATGCAACATCATGATGAAGTTGCAACAATTGTTGTCGGTCGTCGTCGTCACAAAAACAGTCACACACATGTGTGTGAGACTGCGAGAGAGTCTACAACGAAATGCATAATAATTAGCAGTTGTGGAGAATCGAAAAAGTTAAAGAAGAAGAAGACAAAAAACCCAAACCGAATGTGGTAAAATTGTTTATAACTTTACTAAATTGCCAACAACAGCCTCTTACCGAAAAGAAACCCGATTTTTGCAAACAACCAACAAACGAAGAGGAAAAGCAACATTAACCGATAAATCAAATTACAGCAGCCTCTCCAATCATACAATGTTGTAAGAAGATAAAACCAACTTCAACAACATACGAGTATACACGACAAGAAAAATGCAACGAAATTAAACTGTCACAGAGGCAACGACAAACCCTGATATTTATGAATGACGTTTTTGAGGTGTATGCATAGAATGAATGTCAGGTCGCCAGTGGATGATCTCTATACAAAAATTGAAAATAAAAGAAGTGATATATAAAATCGTCATCGTATGGTTCACCACAAGTTCAAAAGAAATACGGGGCAAATTTGGTCATTCAAAATAACTAAAATCGATCGAGACCTTTTATGGGGACTTTGTTGTAGTAAATTGTCAGCTAGTAGATTGTTGCTCTGAGAAAATTAAATTCCAAACCCTTTGGTTTGAAAACTGCGATAGGAACCCAATATATTGGAAATAAAATGGGGGGCTTTGTAAAAATGGGTCTATATTGAACAGGAATCAGTAGTGCTCACTTACAACCACTTCGAATGAAACATGTAGTCAAAAGCTCCAAAATACTGATAATAAGCCAAGACATTTAAATGGGAGCTATGTTCAAAGGATCCACAGATATTGTTGTCCTCCACGAATTCCAAATTTCAAATTATTGACAAGAACCCTATGAAAGACTACCTGCTTGAGCTTGTCTATGAAAAACTTCCTGACTTCTGCATGTCTATGAAATACTCCCTGGCTTCTTCTCGTCTGGGATCCGCTTCTATACAAAAGAATCTTTGGCTTCAGATCCGCTATGAAAGACTCCCTGGCTTCACGTCCTCTATGAAAGACACTATGACTCCCTGATACAGCTCGTTTACGAAAGACTCCCTGCTACAGCTCGTCTACGAAAGACTCCCTGCTACAGCTCGTCTACGAAAGACTCCCTGCTTCAGCTCGTCTATAAAAGACACCCTGCTTCAGCTCGTCTATGAAAGACTCCCTGCTTCAGCTCGTCTATGAAAGACTCCCTGCTTCAGCTCGTCCATGAAAGACTCCCTGCTACAAGACTCCCTGCTTCAGCTCGTCTATGAAAGACTCCCTGCTTCAGCTCGTCTATGAAAGACTCCCTGCTTCAGCTCGTCTATGAAAGACTCCCTGCTTCAGCTCGTCTATGAAAGACTGCTTCCTGCTTCAGCTCGTCTATGAAAGACTCCCTGCTTCAGCTCGTCTATGAAAGACTCCCTGCTTCAGCTCGTCTATGAAAGACTCCCTGCTTCAGCTCGTCTATGAAAGACTCCCTGCTTCAGCTCGTCTATGGAAGACTCCCTGCTTCAGCTCGTCTATGAAAGACTCCCTGCTTCAGCTCGTCTATGAAAGACTCCCTGCTTCAGCTCGTCTATGAAAGACTCCCTGCTTCAGCTCGTCTATGAAAGACTCCCTGCTTCAGCTCGTCTATGAAAGACTCCCTGCTTCAGCTCGTCTATGAAAGACTCCCTGCTTCAGCTCGTCTATGAAAGACTTCATGCTTCTGCTCGTCTATGAAAGAGTCCCTGCTTCAGCTCGTCTATGAAAGACTCCCTGCTTCAGCTCGTCTATGAAAGACTCCCTGCTTCAGCTCGTCTATGAAAGACTCCCTGCTTCAGCTCGTCTATGAAAGACTCCCTGCTTCAGCTCGTCTATGAAAGACTCTTCAGCTCGTGCTTCAGCTCGTCTATCGTCTATAAAGACTTCCTTCAGCTCGTCTATAAATACTCCCTTTAGCTCATCTATAAATAATCCCTTTAGCTCGTCTATGAAAGTCTCCCTCCAACTCGTCTATGAAAGTCTCCCTTCAACTCGTCTACGAAAGACACCCTTCAGCTCGTCCATGAAAGTCTCTCTTCAGCTGGTCTATCAAAGTCTCCCTTCAGCTGGTCTATCAAAGTCTCCCTTCAACTCGTATATGAAAGACTCCCTTCAGCTCGTCTATGAAAGACTCCCTTCAGCTCGTCTTTGAAAGACTCCCTTCAGTTCGTCTATGAAAGACTCTCCTCAGCCCGTCTAAACAAGACTCCCTTCAGCTCGTCTATGAAAGACTCCCTTCAGCTCGTCTATAAATACTCCCTTCAGCTCGTCTATAAAGACTTCCTTCAACTCGTCTATAAATACTCCCTTCAGCTCGTCTATAAATAATCCCTTCAGCTCGTCTAGAAAGACTCCCTTCAGCTGGTCTATGAAAGACTCCCTGCTTCAGCTGGTCTATGAAAGACTCCCTGCTTCAGCTCGTCTATGAAAGACTCCCTGCTTCAGCTCGTCTTTGAAAGACTCCCTGCTTCAGCTCGTCTTTGAAAGACTCCCTGCTTCAGCTCGTCTTTGAAAGACTCCCTGCTTCAGCTCGTCTTTGAAAGACTCCCTGCTTCAGCTCGTCTTAGAAAGACTCCCTGCTTCAGCTCGTCTATGAAAGACTCCCTGCTTCAGCTCGTCTATGAAAGACTCCCTGCTTCAGCTCGTCTTTGAAAGACTCCCTGCTTCAGCTCGTCTTTGAAAGACTCCCTGCTTCAGCTCGTCTTTGAAAGACTCCCTGCTTCAGCTCGTCTTTGAAAGACTCCCTGCTTCAGCTCGTCTATGAAAGACTCCTTGCTTCAGCTCGTCTATGAAAGACTCCCTGCTTCAGCTCGTCTATGAAAGACTCCCTGCTTCAGCTCGTCTATGAAAGACTCCCTGCTTCAGCTCGTCTATGAAAGACTCCCTGCTTCAGCTCGTCTATGAAAGACTTCCTGCTTTAGCTAGTCTGCAATGAAAGACTCCAAGGCTTCAGCTCGTCTATGAAAGACTCCCTGCTTCAGCTCGTCTATGAAAGACTCCCTGCTTCTATAAATACTCCCTTTCAGCTCGTCTATCAGCTCATCTAAAGACTCCTTTCCCTGCTTCAGCTCGTCTATAAAAAGACTTCCTTCAGGCCTGCTTCAGCTCCTCTATGAAAGACTCCCTGCTTCAGCTCGTCTATGAAAAACTTCCTGCTTCAGCTCGTCTATGAAAGACTCCCTTCAGCAGATCTATGCAAAACCCCAAGGCTTCAGCCCGTCTATGAAAGACTCCTTTCAGCTCGTCTATGAAAAACTCCCTTCAGATCCAATAGCATGCCCACGACATTAAATACAGCATCTGATTTGAAAATTATCAATGTTTTTAGATAACCTAATAATATTACACACATTGTTACAAACATCTCTCATTCATCAAAATAACAACGAAGAAGAAAAAAAAACATAAAAAATCGGGTCTTCTGGTTTTATAACCACAATAACGCTAACAATGCAACAGCTTCTGGCAACATTTCAATTTTTCATGATTATACATGGCAGCACATTATAGACGCTTAGCTTAATTTTTTTGGGGTCGCAACAGCAACAAAAAATATCTCCTCTAATTTTGTTACTAGTCAAAATGTCATATTTGTCTCAGCGTTTCGATGGGAACACAATTACGTTACTTAAATAAGAATAAAATATAAATAATAAAAAAAAAACATTTTTACTTACACCAATGTGTTGGCCTTCGACAAATAGTTGAGGTACTTTTATTATTTCCGAATGCATTCGCTCTTTGATTTCCTGTTGATATTCCACACTCATAAAGACATCACGTTCTTCGAATTTCACCAATAGCGTTCGAAGGATTTTCTTAACATTCGAACATTTGGCATAGGTATCGCGTATAATGCCCATACTTGTCGTATAGAGGACAACTTTGCCTGAGTCTTTTTCTTTGAAATTCTGAAAAGTGAGAAGAGACAATTAAGAGAATAATTAATATGGACTGTCATTATAACAATGGGCTTTTGGAGGTAAACAAAATTTAAAATATAATTTTAAAAAATAATTAAAAATATATGTATTCTTAATTCAAAACCATTAAGGAAAGTTCAAAAGTCGGACGGGTCGACTATATGATACCCTTTACCACTTTGGGCACATACAAGAGATGCTCATATGTACAATATCCTTTAGATAGAATAGACATATCATCTTTGGAGGACCATTGGAATGGAATCTAACGAAATTAACTTCGTCAAGTTAATAGAAGAACTACAAACATACAGATACAATCTCAAATCCCACACATCAATCTTGACCTAATTCAGTACTCTGTGCAATTTGAATAGGGTTCGTCCTTGACATGTACCGAATTTCATTCAAATCGGATTATAAATGTGACCTGTACGTTGTTCACAAAAATACATGGACGGACGGACATTCATAAATCGACTCAGAAAGGGATTCAACTATAGTGCAGGACTAGGTTTTTTTAAATTACAACTATTCTAGATTCTGAAGAGGACATTTTTCAATGAATATTTTTCCAATCATCCTTACCATGGTGGATTCTTGCGTGAATTTATAAAAATATTTTTCAATATACACAAACAAGAGTAGATTAAAATAATAAGTATCAGAACAAGCTTGGATTTGAAATGACATATTTTCAAGTATCCAAAGGCCTCTACTCAGGAGTTTTCAAAAAAATATTTTCCCCAACTACTTTAAGCCTGAATTTGTTTTAATCTATTTTTCCAGGATCAACATTAGCGTCAATTTTTTTAAAAAACTGCCACACGCGTAGATTAAAACCAGTAAGGAAAGTAGTAAAGTCGAACTGGGCCGACTATATGATAACCTTCACCATTTTGGGTATATTCTACATATGTATCCTTACAATTGCATGTCAGTTCTCTCGAAAGAACATACGTATGTCTTTTTGTAACCTATATATATGGAATCTATGGCTACGTCCTTCAAGTCTCAATTTGATACGTTGTGCAAAATTTCGTGTTAATCGAAAAACATTAGGAGGTTGGTGCACCATTTATTTAAAATCGAAATCTGAATCGATTTTTCGGAAACTTACCACACATCATTCTAGACTTAATTCAGTACGCTATGCCAAATTTCGTGTAAATCGAAGGATATATAAGGACTTTGGTGCACCATTTACATAAAATCAGACGAAAATATATATGGGAGCTATATCTAAATCTGAACCGATTTTCACAAAACTTAACATACATAACTCTTGACTTCAATCTGTACACTATGCCAAATTTCGTGCAAATCGAAAGATATATTGGGACTTTGGTGCACCATTTACATAAAATCGGGCGAAAATATATATTGGAGCAATATCTAAATCTGAATCGATTTTCACGAAACTTAACACACATCATTCTGCACATAATTTAGAACGCTATGCCAAATTTTGTGCAAATCGAATGATATGTAGGGACTTTGGCGCACCATTTACTAAAAATCGAACAAAAAAATATATGGGAGCTATATCTAATTCTGGACCGATTTTCACGAAACTTAGCACACGTCATTCTAGACTCAATTAAGTGCGCTGTGCCAAGTTTCGTGAAAATCGAAATATATATAGGGACTTTGGTACAACATTTATATTAAATCGGACGAAAATATATATGCATAAATCGACTCAGATAGTGTTTCTATGCATATTCTCAAAAGGAACCTTGTGTCTATCTCGTTTCCTTTTGCCTGCTACAAACATATGCACAAAGACATAATAACCTGTACAACAGGCTATTATAGGGTATAAATATTTCACATCAAAAAATAATAATAAATCTTCCCATATCCTCACTAGGTATCATTGAACCTTAAACAATTCTCAGCATGTGTCACAACATAATGCTCGAACAAAAGACTTTCGCCTAACGTATGTTTGACATGCAACATCTACAAAAAATTTTCTTAAAAAAAACAAACAAAATCTCCTCAGTAAGCATAGCAGGTGACATTATAGGAAAATTCAATTTAAAATAGAGGAGGACATATAAAATAAGATAAAGGTATGTATGCATGTATGTTGTTATGAACATAAATGTTCATGAACATAAACACTAATTATCGGTGTTGAAGAAAAACACCAAACAATTGCGTGAAATAATTTAATGAACTTTTATAGCTGTTGTTGTTAAATTAAATACACAAACATATACACATACTTGTACATGTGCGTGTGATAGTAATGGACTATTTGAATTATTTGTTTTAACTGCGACCAAGATATCCCTAGATGTTTTTTTTTTTTTGTTTATCGTAGTAGATATCACCTACAGGACCACACATTAGCCTTTGGATCGGGTTTTTTTTAACTCCAAAACTATTTCGATTTCATTTGAAAACTCAATTATGTCATTTGTGCCAGGTGCAACCAATGGCCATTGGAATGCCAAGATTTTAATTTTAATTATTTTGTTTTATTTGATGTTAACATCAGTTTTGGTTACAATGCAAACAAAATTTAATGGCTAATTAAAAACAAAAAGTTTTTCATAGCTTAAGGCACTGTGATAATTTGTTGATGGTGTGTTTTGCAGACCATCTGTGTAGGTACAACAAACATATTTTAGTGTTGAAGAGCTCTTCAACTTGAAAAAAGTGAAATTTTTTTATTACTCCATCTGATGTTTTTGTTATTAGTTTATTTAATTAATTTAATTTATTTGTTGTTGAACTGAGCGAAAAAAATAGCAACACAAAAAAACATGATAACCATCAAATGCAACATGCTATGCAGACGGGAGGTGGGGCCATGTTGGACTTTTGTGCATACCACGCATGCTACAAACAACAGGTTTAAATATATTTCTTTTATTTTGCTGCATTAGTTCAATTAATGTTTTTCTTGTTGGTGTGCATGTGTGTTTTTTGTTTTTTGCATAAATATGTATAATTTTTTTATATATTAACAAGGTGTTTGATTGCCAGTGTTAAAGTTGTCTATCTGCCAGTTTGTCCATTTCAGATTCAATGTCTGTCTTTCTGTGTGTCTAATTTACCTTGAATATTTGTTGAGCTGTGAAGGAAAACACCCTCCACAGACATGTGCATTACTAAGGAGATGTATGTGCATATGAAAGGTGTTGCCACATTGAGAAAATTTTTAAATAAACGTAAATTTTTTTAAAACAAATATTTTTTAGAATATTTTTTCTTTTTAATAAAAAAAATCAAAATTTTTAAAAGGATTCTCAAAGCGTGTATTTTTATATATTTTATAATATGACCCAAACACCGCGAATTTTTGCACGGAGAAGGGGATCGGGTCAAAGAATGAGCATGTCTTTTTTGATAAAGATCGGTCAATATTTAGCTGGTCAAATCGACCCTGACTTTTGTGTGAAAAATTGCAAAATTTGTATTCTATGGCGTCTAGATTTGTCCCTGAAGGACCTAGACCCAAAAAGTTGATAGTATGTTCAAGAGGAGTGGTTGACCTTTAAATTGATACCAATTATATGGTCGTATGAACTCAGATGTGAGAGCTACACTTAAATATTTACGGGTGCTTACGTATTCAGACATTATTTAGTAACCCAAAACCTAGACTAGAGGGCGGAAATATAGCGCTAATCGCTTTGAAAATTTCCATGAGATTCCAGTTATGGTCAAGGACAACGCCTATAATTTTCGGTGATGATCAGACAATAATTTTGGGATGAAGTGGAGCGAAAACTTAACATTTTGTATTATTATTATTATTTTTTTTTTTTATTCGATCTATAGGCCACAATTGAAAACCCAACATCACAACATAACCCACGGTAAAGAGAATCTGAACAAGTATAGCCCTCGTCTACGGAATATTAGTAATATTTGTTGACCTTTAGTCAGGTTACAAGAGGTTGCAAATAACGCAACGTTCGATTTTCGTAGAAGTTGTGTAGGGTATTATATGGTCGGCCCCGCCCGACTATACTACTCCGCTCACTGGTTTAAGAATATTTTTTTTAAACTCCTAAAAAGTGAAGAATTTTTTAAGAATATTTTTTAACTTCCTAGATAGACATAGATTTTTTAAAGAATATTTTTGAACTTCTTACGAAGGCGAGGACTTATTGAAGAATATTTTTTAACTTCCTAGGAAAGCGTGGATTTTATTTAAGATTTTTTATTCTCCTAAGAACGCCTCGATTTTTTAAAGAATATTTTTTTTTGTTACTAGGAAGGCGTCGATTTTCTAAAAAATATTTTTAACCTCCTAAGAACGCGTAATTTAAAAAAAAATACTTTTTAACTTCCTTCTAAGAAGGTGTGGATTTTTTAAAGAATATGTTTTAACCTCCGAAGAAGGCGTGAATTTTTTAAAAATTATTTTTTGACCATCCAAGAAGTCGTGGATGGTCAAAAATCTCCTAAGCATGCGTGGATTTTTTAAAGAATATGTTCCGAAGAAGGCGTGAATTTTTTAAAATTATTTTTGACCTCCGAAAAAGTGGATTTTATAAAGAATATGTTCCAAAGAAGGCGTGGATTTTTTAAATTTTTTTTTTTGACTTCCGAAGAAGGCGTGGATTTTTTAAAGAATATTTTTTAACCTCCTAAGAAAATTATTTAACCTCCAAAGAAGGTGTGGATTTTTTAAAGAATATTTTTTAACCTCCTAAGAAGGCGTGGATTTTTTAAAGAATATTTTTTAACCTCCTAAGAAGGCGTGGATTTTTTAAAGAATATTTTTTAACCTCCTAAGAAGGCGTGGATTTTTTAAAGAATATTTTTTAACCTCCTAAGAAGGCGTGGATTTTTTAACCTCATAAGAAGGCGTGGATTTTTTAAAGAATATTTTTTAACCTCCTAAGAAGGCGTGGATTTTTTAACCTCCTAAGAAGGCGTATTTTTTAACCTTAAGAAGGCGTGGATTTTTTTCCTAAGAAGGCGTGGATTTTTTAAAAATATTTTTTCCAATGATAACAGAC